TGGAGGTCATCCTGGAATGACTACTACCGCTTGGGGAGCATCTTTACTCTTAGTCAAGAGGACCAGCTCGCCTACCTGCGAGCGTGCTTCACTGAAGACATGCGTGCCGCCAGTCTGCACGCCGTCGGGATCTGCCCGCACTCGGACAATGTGAGCTCATCGCTGGACAAGATCGAGCAGTATCTGCGGCTTCAGCACAACGTCGCCATCGACCGGGTAAAGTTTGAAGAACGACACCAAGAAGAGGGAGAGTCATTCGACTCGTTCCTGATCGCGATCAAGGAGCTAGCAGCCGACGCCGAGCTGTGCTCCTCCTGCATGGACGACCGCATCACCACGCGCATCATGTCCGGGGTACGCGACGCGGATACACGTCGAAAGCTGCTGTCACTCCGGCCATTCCCGTCGCTGCTGTGCGCAATCGACATCTGTCGATCGGAGGAGGCCTCTCAAGCCAACAACCAGCTTCTGCAGGACATCACTCAAGGCCATCAGAGCGTCTTCCGGGTGTCATCACGCCAGAATCAGCGGAGCCCATCACGAGAACGGCCATGTGAGGGCTGCGGCGGCACTGGCCATCCCAGGAGGTCATGTCCTGCTGCAAATCTCACCTGCTACTCCTGCGGCACCAAGGGCCATCTGGCGGCGGTATGCCGCAAACGGCAGCAGGCTCACCAGCCACCAGAGGCACAGCGATCTCGGAGCAGAAACCGGCACTCGAACCAAGTCTCCATTCCACAAGTCGTGGTCGGCAGTCTACACAAGACTCAGCAGGCACCGAAGATTGCTGTTCAGCTTCGGCGTGCTGACGGCACCCTCCTTGGTACTGTCGATGCCACGCCTGACTCAGGCGCAGAGATCTCTGTGATGAGTGCTGGGCTGGCGCGCCAGCTCGGTGTGCGGCAGGAAGATCTGTCGCCACCGCCGAGTATCCAGATCTCCGCTGCCAACCTGCAACCCATGCGCTGCACTGGCACCTTCGAGGTCTTCATCAGCCTTCAAGACAGGCTGATCCGAGACACTGTGTACGTCTTCACGGAATCTCGCGGCATGCTGTTGGCCTGGTACACCGCCAAGTCTCTGGCCATCCTACCAGACCACTACCCCCAGCCTGGAAGTCAGCGACCTGCTATTGACAGCATCGTCACGACCGGTTCAGATGGAGAAGGGAGGACGTCGCCAACGGATCCGAAGTCTGCTGTTCGGCAGCATGGCAAGCTGCGACAAGAGCTTGTCAAGGAATACCGTGATGTCTTCACGGCGGACGGCAAGAACTCACTCCAACCGATGTCCGGTGAATCAATGGTCATCCACGTCACTGAGGAAGTCACGCCGTTTGCGGTCCGCACGGCTCGGCAGGTTCCCTTCGCCTGGAGGGACGAGGTCAAAACGCAGCTGGACCAGATGGTTCTGCAAGGCATCATCGCACCACTCGGCGCAGAACCTACAGATTGGTGTCATCCTCTCGTGCTGGTTGCCAAGGACACTGGTGTACGCATCTGCATAGACCTCACCAAGCTGAACAAGTTTGTCAAGCGGCCACTACATCCCCTCATCACGCCTCGTGAAGCCATCTCACAGGTACCCACGGATGCGAGGTTCTTCTCAACACTGGACGCGAAGTCTGGATACTGGCAGCTGCCTCTGCATCCTGAGAGCCAACATCTGACGACCTTCATAACTCCCTGGGGCCGCTACAAGTTTCTCAGAGCTCCGATGGGCCTGATCTCGACTGGTGATGAGTATTGCCGACGGAGTGACATCGCTCTTCAGGGACTCAACAACTTCGTCAAAGTCGTCGACGACATCCTGGTGTATAGCAAGACCCTGGAAGAGCACGAGCGTCATCTCCGAGCTCTTCTCGACCGCTGTCGGGAGCACAGCATCACCCTCAATGAGAAGAAGTTCTTCTGCGCCGTGGAAGAGGTGTCTTTCTGCGGCTTCACGCTGTCACTTGCTGGGAAGCAAGTCCAGCCAGGCAAGGTCTCTGCCATCACCGAATTCCCGCCGCCTACCAACATCACGGAGCTGCGATCCTTCATGGGCCTCGTCCAGCAGCTCGGCGACTTCTCCAAAGAGATCTCCTCGACAGCCGAGCCTCTGCGTGGTCTACTGAAGCCAAGCAACAGTTTCATCTGGACTCCAGACCATCAGGCCGCATTCGACGCGATGAAAGCGGCTCTGGCAGCGCCACCTGTGCTGGCGCACTTCGACCCATCTTTGCCTACGATGCTGCAGACAGATGCGGCAAGACGGAAAGGCCTCGGATACGCCCTGCTTCAGCGCCACGGCAACCACTGGCGTCTGGTGCAATGCGGATCTCGTTTCCTTTCGGACACGGAAACCCGATATTGGGTATTTGGGTAGTCAGGGTATTGGAACTTAATCTTTACTGTCGGCAGGTACGTACACTTCTTCATTGGGGGTTGCCCAATCAGCAATAATTGACCCATCTTACAAATCATTCAGCTCATTCATCTTCTTTGGGATGTTCAAAGAAGCTTTTCGAAGACTGAGGCATCTGCTTGCCTTGTATTCATTTGTGAGTGGCTGCCTCAGGAGACTGAGAAGTGGGATACACGAGCCTCGTTCTTACTGGACCTAATGCTCTAGTGCATTTGCTATATACGCGGCTAAATACATGAATGGCATTCGTTGACATTTACTGTACATTACCTAGCATGCCATTTAATCCTACGAATATCCGACCTCTTCGTACCTGCTTCCGGTGTGGCTTTGACAATTGTTGCCGAGCGAATCTTGCGCTTATGTCACTAAAGAGAGATGGAATTATCGCGCTTTCTGTCTCGAACACTTGGATTTGCTGGCTTGTGTTTCAAATGGAGCGTCGTCGATTAGCTGCCTGGAGTCTTTTGATAGTGCCGGCTGCTCTTCGTTCTCTCTGAGTCTGTTGTTTTTTGTGTCGTCTGTATTTTTCTGGTTTGGCGTGCGTGTTGTGGCGGCCCCCAATAACTCTGCCTGTCGGTGTGGCGAACGGCGAATCCATCATAATTGACGGCGGGACGTGTTCAAGGTTAGTTCGACCGTACCCGGATGTTGAGGAAGAGAGAAGACGGTTAACATAGGCGTTAAATATCCTATCAATGATGCTGGGACATTGTTGATGAAAGGATCCATGACCAAAGAAATTTTGCATTGCGAACGTTTTGCGTCCGAACTGATGCTCAATCCAAAATATATTTGCAATGCGTATCGACTTACTCAAATGCTCATGTGTCTACGGCTTACGGGCATTTTGACTCCAAAAGCCAAGACGATTGCAGCGATGAGCAATAGCACCTTCCAGGTGTAAACGATGATCCCCTTCTCTTGGAATCAGCTCACTGCTCGCGCGAACGTAGTACAGTGCCGTGTCTTGCTGAGGTCGGACAACCGAAAAGGGAAGCCAGGGAGGGTGAGGAGGGTTTTCTGGCGTTTCCGGCCGGCCAAAAGCGCCAGCCGTGTGCCAGAGATAATGGAACCAGTCTCAATTTGGAGATTAAAGCTGTCGGCAGGCCGTGCTATTTGTTTCCATAAAGCCTTCTTTACTTGGTTAGCCTTATTTATGGTTCACACTCTGTGATAGATTGCCAGGATAGATTGCCAGGTTTTAATACCACCTCGAATTTTTGTAATGTGATTATTTGTTTTGTGTTATTGACATTTGTACTTTTGGGCTCGGCTTTAAGCCTGATAACGGTATCAGGCTTTTGGTAAATTACCTACATTTTCTTTCAAGTTTTCCATTGAACGTTTCAGTCTTCTGTATTGGCATGGTCTTATCTAATGTCTTTTATGTGTTTCATCGTGTAGAATTTCGTCGTCGTCTTTTTCCCTTTGTGTTGATATAGCCATTCATTCAAAGCATTCGGTACATCTCGAGTTTCACTTAAGGCGGCGAACTAAAATGTCTCAGCAAAGAAAACCAGGCTTTCACTCTAGAGCGCACCTTTCTCTTGCGAAAAATCATGTTCCTCTCTTCTTTTAGCTCCGATGTTTTCGAATAACCAGTCGCCGCTTTAAAACCTGCCGCGGGGCAGGGTTGGCAAACAAAGCGTGCCGGTGGCAGCGCGCTTTGATGTCGCTCGGGATTGAACCCTTGCCGGTGATCCTCTGCGTCCTCTCCAGCGATCTGCGCCCACGAAAGACACACAACCGAGCGAATATCAAATGATCGTCAACGACAACTGACTGCGACCGGAGACTCGGCGTAGACAGTAGCTTAGGACGGCACGGCGCCGACCAAACGAAAACAGAACACGAACGTGCCCCAGGAGACCGCTGCGGGTGCCACCCGCGCAGATTGCCGCGGCACCGGCCACCCCGGCACGGAGCAAGGTGGCCTGTTTTTGCTGAGACGGCCGATCCCGCTGTTATTAAATCGGGGATTGGTGGCGACACGGTTCGGCCATTCACAGCACGCGTGCGACTCCGGTCATATTTTTGCCGCCGCGGTAAATCAGTGATGAGGCTGGCCGCTGGGGCGACCCCAGGCCAATGAAGAGGTCCGGTTTGATTCTGGTCGCGTCGGCGGCGGGGACGGCTCGAGCAGACCCGGCCGCGCTGACTGCCCTCCTCTCCGGGCTTGTCTGCATGGCTGACAGCCGGAGACGTTGGATTATTCAGAACCCCGGTTCGTGCGCATTGTCTCAATGTGCGTCGACCGGCGATGTTAGTAGGTAGCGGCGCCAGGTCACGAACCGTCCTGCTTGGGAGTGGAAGGGGTCTGGAGGCAGGTTTTATATCATTTTATTATTTTCTCGGAAGTGTTACGTAACGCTGAATGCGAACCCTTGCGAACTTGACCTTACATCCCGATCATATTTGGACAGGCAGTAGACGCCATTATCATCGATTTAATTTGGTTGGAAGGAAAGTAATCGCACACGAAAAAGTTGCAACAATTTCTGTGTTGATGTCTGTAGCTTCAGGCAATTTACCTCATCTTTGCCGCCATCTTGATCTCCGTATTGACCATCGCTCCTCTCCCCCTTCCACAGCGTGATGGTGCAGTACCACGCCCTGGGCCTGCTGTACAACATCAAAAAGTCGGACAGGCTGGCCGTCACCAAGCTGGTAGCCAAGCTGACCCGCTCGGCGCCGCGCTCCCCGTACGCCGTCTGCATGCTGGTGAGTTGTGACGTCATTTATGACATCATGGTGACGTCACAGTGACCCCGCGCTCCCCGTACGCCGTCTGCATGCTGGTAAGTGGTGACGTCATCGTGACGTCATATTTATCCCGCTAAAGTGATGTAAAAAGATGAATGTGGTCCACAGCCGCAGTTATTATGGTCGCATGAGTGTTCCAAAAACTGAAATTTACGGGAGTATGCATGCGGAAAATAATTGGTCAAGCTGGAAAGCGGTGGGACAAAAAAAAAACATCCCACACCCAACACCCTCCGCTATGACGCTGTGGCTGCATCTTCTCGCGGGACGGGCTTATGACACAATGCCCGGGGGAGAAAAATAGCCACTCTGGTGGCTCGTCTAAAGCCGCCGGCATTACAATGTCATCAGCGGCGGTGCGGCGCTGGCGTCGGAAGTTCCGCGGCCTCGGGAGAGTGCCGCCGCCGCCGCGGGCCCATTTTCATCAGCTCCTCGGCGAGGGCGGCACGACGACCTCCGACGGGCTGTCAGTGGCCGATATTGCATGAAACCGTAGCACTGACACTAGTGTAATCTTTGATGGCAATATCGACGAGTGACACTGAAGGAGTTGTTTATTTGATTTCAAAATAGCATAACCGGTGACATTCTTATGTTCAGGGATATTCAATCGGCTAAAAGGTTTATGAGGTGCCTAGCTTGGAAGTTCAAATTGCCAAAGTTTAGCATATTCTGGAACTTTTTACGAACTCATTTATTCTACCCCAGTTACCGATGTCGCTCAGTTCGATGAATGCCCAATTTAAATCCGTCTAACAAACTTGGTGACGCACGCACTCCAATCTAAATCAGCGCCGCAGGGTATTTTTCAACTTTCTTCATTCATCGTAGCGTATGAAGTTCGCACTTCGCTGATCAGCACATCGATCCCTCTAACCACCATTCCACCCGCTCTAACCGTTCTCCCACTCTCGCCGCAGATCCGCACGGCGTGTAAGCTGATGGAGGAGGAGGACGCTGGCACCGAGTCGCCCCTGTTCGACTTTGTTGATTCGTGTCTGCGCCACAAGTCTGAGATGGTGGTTTATGAGGCGGCGCACGCCATCGTAAACATGCCTCGCACCTCGCCTCGCGAGCTGGCGCCCGCCGTCAGCGTGCTGCAGCTCTTCCTGAGCTCGCCCAAACCGACGCTGCGCTTCGCCGCCGTGCGCACGCTAAACCAGGTTGGTGACATATTGATGGAAGGGATGGAGGCTTTGTTTTGATGGTTTGATGTGAGACTAGCTTACCGAAATACTTCCCAAAATATAGCAGAGAACCGTGAGAATCACCAATTTCACGTCACTGGCCAGTTGATATCTATAATCGGTGCAAGTGGTCTCTCTCCTGACCTCAATAACCTGACCTGTGATCTCTGAATTCTGTGACATCTGACCTCCGTCCACAGGTGGCCATGACGCACCCGGCAGTGGTGACCGCTTGTAACCTGGACCTGGAGAGCCTCATCTCGGATGTAAACCGCTCCATCGCCACCCTGGCCATCACCACGCTGCTCAAGACGGGCGCCGAGTCTTCGGTCGACCGGCTCATGAAGCAGATCTCCAGCTTCGTCAACGAGATCAGCGACGAGTTCAAGATTGTCGTCGTACAGGTATGCTGCTGATCGGGGGAGGAGGATGGGTGGGGCTGATAGGTGGAAGGACATTGCAGTAGATTTGTGCGTGAGTGAGAGGCCGTATGGCTCGTGGAAGAGAGCGCCAAAAAGGCAAAATTGAGAGGCATGCTTTGTGGAGAAAGAAAAGCTTAGTCTCCGGCTCAGAGTTTATCCTTTTTAGGGAACGTTGAAAACTACTTGTAGCGGATATAGGTGTCAAGAACGGTTCACGGTACTTCCAGTTCACTGACATCTCACTAGCACGTGACTCGTCACGTGCAAGGCTCGAGGGTACTGTCCAGTATCACAGCCCGGCTCGAATTTTCCGCGTCGGTTCAGTGGATATCACGACGATCGCAATTACTGGGATTGGTGTAAGATTCTTCAGAAAAGGAAAAAAACTTGAACAAGGTGCTTCATGCGAGCGTCCCAGTCGTATGAAGTCGTCACAAAACATACTGTTTTTCGCACTCCGAGCGTTAAGTGCCAATAATTGCACTTTTGAAACGGCGCAGCCCAGCTATCGGAAGGCTAGATCGGACATTGCCCGTGCTCCCTTCAATCACCCAGTTCCACGAACAGTCCCGCGCTTTGTCTCTCAGTGATCAGTCATCAGGTACCTGAAGTGTTCAATCAGTCACACTGGAGACTGCCGGCCAGCTAATTAGCCCTCACCTGGCGCAGCGACCGTCCCTCGCACCCGGTGACGCCGCTCGCTATTAGCTGTCGTCGTCGACAGGGCCGCGTCGTCGGCGCGTCGAGTCCGTCGGCGGCTAATTTGTGTCCACTCAGGTCGGACTGGCCCGCTGCGCGCTGCCGACGACGCGCCACCGCCGACAGTGACGATAATTGGACGCGACTAGTGGCCTCTTCCGACGGAGATGGGACGGCCCGACCGGTGTGGGAGGCCGGGCTATAGGGGAATAGGAGGAGGAAGGGGACCACCCTGTGGAGGTTTTTGCTCGCCAGGTGTCAAACTGTGAGATGAATGCCAAGATGAGTTAGTAAGAGGAGACGCACTGTGCGTAGATGGAGTTCGGGTATAGGCTAAGGTGCTGTGATTGAATTATGTGGAAAGTGGTTTGCTAACTTAAACCGGAAAGTTATTGCGGCAAGGCAGTTGCGCGTTGCTAATTAATTGGTGGGTGCTAGTTGTAAGCCACTCGGGAATAAGTTTGCCAGCTGATCGAAGTTTGGTAATCTCAAGTGGTTCGGTACGTCATCGTGACTGTTATGAAGTCTTATATAACTTCACAACAGTTAGTTAGCAGAATTATCAAACAGACACCTTAGAGACCAGAATAGCTGAACATTTCGGCTGTTACGTCATCCAGGGAGTACAGCATATTACCTTTCTGGCTTGCGGTAAACAGATCTCAATACGATTTGCCGAACTCTTGACCCACGCAGCACCAAATATAAATGAGCGTCGAAATGCCAAGCTAACTATAATCGTCTCCTGGTGACCCTGAGGGAAATATCTACACAGCTGTGTACTGGGAAAAGCCCACGTGTGTCTTCATCAGGCGGTGTTAATTACAATGTCATAGTTTCGCTGAACGAGTTCAGAAATAGGACATTTTGATTAGCTCAGTGTATGCACAGGTGCGGGCTTGGGTACGGATCAGAATTGTCTTCATCCTGATTTCAAATTGCTACCTGCTCAGATGATCTGACGTTCGAATCTTTCATGCTTTTTCTGTCCCATACCCACGTCGCTTACTGCTTAGATTCTCATTCGTTGTCCAATCTCCTCTCTGACTAAAATCTTTGCCTCCTCTGAACCTTTCCTGTCCTTTGAAACCCGATGGTGTTCTCCAATGAAAGCCATGAATGTCCCCTTCTCTGACCACGTCCTCCCTTCTCAGGCCATCAAGGCGCTGTGCCTCAAGTTCCCGCGCAAGCATGGCGTGCTGATGAACTTCCTGTCGTCGATGCTGCGCGACGAGGGCGGTCTGGAGTACAAGGCCTCCATCGCAGACACCATCATCACCATCATCGAGGAGAACCCAGAGGCCAAGGAGGCGGGTGAGTGAGGCGGGAAGGGCGGGGGGGGGGTGAGGGAGGACAAGGAGACGGGTGAGCACGGGTGGAACTTTGTGCGGAGCTGGGAGGGCCCAGGCGCAGCAAATCCGCCGCCGCCCTAGCGGTGACCTTGACCTCCGCGGTCTGTTGCGGCTCCAAAGCCAAGCCGGCGTCGAATTTGGATAGCTCGCCCCCCCCCCTCCCCCCAGCTCGGCACAAAGTTCCACTTATGCGGGTGAGTGAGGCTGAGGGGGGGGGGGCTGCCTGGGGAGCCCGGTGAATTAATTTTGAAGCTTTCGGTACAGAGCCACTGAAGAAAAACTGGGAAATTCAGGTAGGGAGGGAGGGTATGGAGGCGATAACCAGAGTAAAGAGAGGTGCTGGACGCTGGTGAGATAAGTGTGTAAAGTGTAGGGGTTGAGAAAGTCTCGACAACTTGAGTCATTGTCTGATGAAGATCAGGCAATAGGTACCGGTATTATTACCAGCATTCTGGTATTGTTATTAGATGAACGGCTTTTCTATGATGCAGGGTGGCGAGGAATAAGTACAAGTAAGACTAGAATGTAGGTGAGTGGTCAGACTGGACGACAGAAAAAGACAAAAGAGGGAAAATAAGCAAAGAAAAAGAAGCAAATAATGAGAAACTGTAGCGGCGGCACGGCAAAGAAACACAGATAAATGGGCGGCTTAGCGTGCCTCTTCGCACATGAAGAGTGATGAGCGCTGCAGAGTTAGCAAATAACGACACATGGGCTGTGCTCGTCTGCTGAGCGGCGGGAGACGCCCCATAATCACCGTATCAGCAGCTCGGATCAGGATCGGTGTGACCGATAGATTTTCATTATGGTGGTTCCTGGTATTCTGTTGTGACGTGGAATTTCATATATTAGATGGGAAATTGGCTGGTAAGCTGGTTGTTGCTGCACAGAGCACAACATGGTCATCACTGGACAATGCGTGACCTCACGCGGCGAAGGCGATGAGTCCTGGATACGGCTTGTGTAAGATATTTCTTGTATTTATCTGTAGTGGGTAATTTGACCTGAATTAGAGTCTCGAAGATAACACCATCAACCGGCTAGGTTAAAGAGAAATACATGATTGTTTCCAACAAGTTTTGCTGTTGATTTAACAATTGTCGACATAGTCGTTATTGCTAGATCGCTTGCTCGTGTGTTGATACACGATAAATTTGCCGCATAAGCTCTGACTTGAGATGGGGGGGGGGCACTTTGAAAGGTCTCCTGGTAGAACCAAGCTCCAAGTACCGAAAGCACACGAAGAGAATCGCCGCTGGCTGTTGTCAGCAGGAGTTTGACAAAGGAACGGAATAATTTGATCAACTCGGTGGCAAGACGCGATCGATCGAAATAGCTGTGCTTCTTTGTGAACAGATGTGTCTCGTAGCGTTAAATTCATCAGTCATTGGGACGGCCGAATGCGGAATGAACCGCGAGCATTGCATCTTGCTCTTTGGATGAATCTTTTTTTTTTTTTTGCTTGTTACATGCATCTCCAGCCCTTCTGCAATTAAGGCACCAGATCTCATTTGCAACGTTCGAAATTACATTCAGGGTATTATGCAGAGCTTCTGACTGGTGATGCAGCCGCCGGAAGAAACCAGCTATTTCAGGATCTGTGTGCTGTAATCTAATTTGGGAAGCGTGTGTCTTCGATTGTCATTGTGTCTCAATGCTGCAACAGGCTGTTTCTGTGTGTTAAGCCCAATGGTGACCGCTCTGCACCTAACTAGGATATCCAACATTGTGGTTATTATACCCCGGTGTTCCCCATTTTAATTTGAGCTCTCATTACTGTACAGGGGTTCATTGAAATACCATCGTGGTTTATATTTCTAGCTGAGAGATGTGCAAAACTGATTATTTGCGACCACTTTGCCTCACATTGGTAATATGGGGAACTGACCTATCAAATGTCGTCGGTTTGTTAAGGCTGGAATCGTTTCCTGGTGTTACTACGAGATCATTCTGCCGGTACCCTTTTGATCATTCTGCCGGTACCCTTCTCAAAGCTGTTATATTTTCATTCAGAACGTGGTTTCTAGCTTACACCTCACAATACCCATGGTGAATGAACAGTGAGCGTCCCAACCTTAAAGCACATCACATTGTCTCACTGCTTTTGCCACTGCACACCAATAGGCATAGGATCCCCTCTCACCCTCACCGGTGTCTCTCCGCAGGTCTGTCTCACCTCTGTGAATTTATCGAGGACTGTGAGCACACCAGCCTGGCCGTGCGTATCCTGCACCTGCTGGGCCGCGAGGGGCCCAAGACCAAGCAGCCATCCAAGTACATCCGGTTTATCTACAACCGCGTCATCCTGGAGAGCGCTGCTGTTCGTGCAGCGGCCGTCTCCTCGCTGGCACGGTTCGGGGCGCTCTGCGACGACATGCTGCCCAACATCCTGGTGCTGCTGCAGGTCGGTAGGGCGGGGAGGGAGGGAGGGAGGGAGGGAGGGAGGGAGGGAGAGAGAGAGAGAGAGAGAGAGAGAGAGAGAGAGAGAGAGAGAGAGAGAGAGAGAGAGAGAGAGAGAGAGAGAGAGAGAGAGAGAGAGAGAGAGAGAGGGAAGGAGAAAAGAGAAAGGAGGAGACTCAAACGAAAAAGATGAAGGGATTGGAATATAAAGTATGGAATAGGTTAGGACGCGTCGTGTTGTATCATTGTTTACCTTATAGGACTGCAATGTGAGCAGCCTCTTATCGTGGTCAAGCTATTAGGTTTAGATGAAATACGTTCAGTGTTTATAAGGTTTTCCCCTCGTGAATGGAATTTGTTTTTTTCCGTAAAGGAACTTATAAGCAGGGACTTCTATTATATCAATATTCTCGAATTTGTGTCGTGCTTTTTCTTTCGCTTACGCTAGAATGATATTATTATTTGATATTCTTCCATTGAGCACAAACACGTGGATGGACAGAGCGAACAACGGGTCGCCCGTATTCGGTATTGTCCATTGAGGTGACTGTGACAGCAGGCGCCAGTATCATTCGCTCGCTGCACCAGCCGGGCTCCCCCGCCTTACATGCCCGGCGCGTGCACCAGACAGCCGCTGCGCGCCCTCTCGGAACCGGAGACCGACAGCTGAGACCGACACTGAGCCGACCTGTGCTCAGGCGACCTTCTGTTCATCCTCCCGCTTAGCGCCGCGGGGAAACCCTTTGTGGTGTGGGCGGATACAGGATGGAGTCCCACTCAGCGCGGCGCCAGAGTCGGCTGCCATCGACGGCCAGATTCCGATCGTCGCCGACGCTTATCGATGGCTGTTTGGACCGAATGGCCCCCGGGACATGTTGACTGTATGCATGGCTGAGTGCGCCGCTCGACTCGAGTATTTATAGTTGTATAAATTCTGACCCATTCAGAGCGCTCGCTACCGAAGTAGCCATCCATTTGGGCTTTGACGTAGATTCGTCTGGCTGTGATCCGGCGTTTCAGGAAGGGTGTGTTAACCAGTCTATTTCTGGCACCGGCTAATAGGAGCGTCTCAAGATTATTCGTCAGTTAACTTCGATCCAATGAGGAAAAGCCTACGCTTACGACTCGTGTGCGTTATCGGAAATGCGGGTGGGTAGCTGCACCACGTATGCTGAAGCCGCTGCAGCGATTGAATGACGCTTGCCCAGAGATCCTTTTCGTCAATGTTTTTTTTTTTGTAAAACCAGCACGGTTTTCAGCTAGTCACGAACATAGAGAGCATAGACTACAGGGGTGGATTTTTATATTAAGTTGGGGTTGCACGTGCAACCCCAACTTTGAATTGTGCAACCCCAACATCGGTTTGTGCAACCCCAACTTTACAACTGAAATGAATCGGCGGGCGACTCGAATGGTGCCGCCCCCATAACCCTGAGCCATCCCAAAACTCTATGCCACCCGTTGACTTGGCACCATCTTTCAAAAGAGCCCTACCCATCATGTAGGCAATAGTCACCCCTCAACTATCTAGTGTAGTTGCCGCCTCCTCAGACCTCAAATGTAGGTGCCGCTCCCTCGAATGTAAGTACCGCCCCCCGAATGTAGGACTAGGTGCCGCCCCCTCGAAGGTAGGTGCCGCCCCCTCGAATGTAGGTGCCGCCCCCTCGAATGTAGGCGCCGCCCTTCAAATGTAGGCGCCATCCCCTCGAATGTAGGTGCCACCCCCTCGAAAGTTGGTGCCGCCCCTCAAATGTACCTAAATGCCGCCCCTCGAATGTAGGTGCCGCCCCCTCGAATGTAAGTGCCGCCTCCTCAAATGTTAGTGCCACCCCCTCCCTCGAATGTAGATGCCGGCCCTCCTCGAATGTAAGTGCCGCCCCCTCGAATGTTGGTGTCGCCCCTTCAAATGTAGGTGCCGCCCCCTCAAATGTAAATGTCGCCCCTCGAATGTAGGCGCTGTCTCCTCGAATGTAGGTGCCGCCCTCTCAAATGTTAGTGCCGCCCCCTCGAATGTAGGTGCCGACCCTCCTCGAATGCAGGTGCCGCCCCCTCAAATGTTAGTGCCGCCCCCTCGGATGTAGATGCCGGCCCTCCTCGAATGTTGGTGCCGCCCCCTCAAATGTACCTAAACGCCGCCCCTCGAATGTAGGTGCCGCCCCCTCGAATGTAGGTGCCGCCCCCTCGAATGTAAGTGCCGCCCCCTCAAATGTTAGTGCCGCCCCCTCGAATGTAGATGCCGGCCCTCCTCAAATGTAGGCGCCGCCCCCTCATATGTTAGTGCCACCCCCTCGAATGTAGGTGCCGGCCCTCCTCGAATGCAGGTGCCGCCCCCTCAAATGTTAGTGCCGCCCCCTCGAATGTAGATGCCGGCCCTCCTCGAATGTTGGTGCCGCCCCCTCAAATGTACCTAAATGCCGCCCCTCGAATGTAGGTGCCGCCCCCTCAAATGCTAGTGCCGCCCCCTCGAATGTAGATGCCGGCCCTCCTCGAATGTAGGTGCCGCCCCCTCAAATGTTAGTGCCGCCCCCTCGAATGTAGATGCCGGCCCTCTTCGAATGTAGGTGCCGCCCCCTCAAATGTTAGCTCCGCCCCCTCGAATGTAGGTGCCGGCCCTCCTTGAATGCAGGTGCCGCCCCCTCAAATGTTAGTGCTGCCCCCTCGAATGTAGGTGCCGGTCCTCCTCGAATGCAGGTGCCGCCCCCTCGAATGAAGGTGCCGCGCCGCCCCCTCAAATGTTGGCCCCGGCCACTTATGCATAGGTGTCATCGGTCATCACATAAAATGTAGATGACACCCCTAGGTTGCCGCCCCCTAAGGCCTAGTTGCAGTGCAGCCCCCTCAAATGTAGGTGCCACCCCCTAAGTGTAGGTGCCACCCCTTGAAATGAAGGTGCCTTTCCCTCACATGTAGATAGCTGCCGCCCCCCCCCCCCCACCCCCATGCGTGGGTGCCGCCCCTCAAGTTAGAGTGCTGCCCATGAAATGTAGGTGCCGCCCCCTCTAAGTGTAGGCGCTGCCGCCTCAAGTGCAAATGCCATCGCCGCCCCCTCTAATGTAGGTACTACCCTCCTCTCAAGAGCTTGAGCTGTCACAAGGCCGTATAGAGCTGTCGGACATGCAAAAATGACCAGTTAAAAAATCGTGGATTTCGATTCCTGGTGCGCCGCTCACCGCTCAGTGGGCGGTGGGGGTGGTGCCCAGTGGAGGTCGCAGGGGGGCATCAGGGCCATGACCCCCCAAAGACAAATCAGGGGCCATCATATAATTTGCTCCCTTAAACAACCGATGGGCCCCGAAGGGCGTAGGGGCCCTGGCTCTTACCCGATTGTCACGAGGCTCAAGAAACCAACGCCAGGTATTATGTAACAGCCCCCATACCGGTCTTTGAGTATCCTGACTTCTGAGGGCGCTTCAGTGGCCTTCAAGGGCCAACCCTGACCGATGAGGGCCCACATCGACCGATGAGCGCCCACATCGACCTCTCAGGGCCCTCCACTGGCCCTAAAGCGGCATCAGGAGTCCCCCAACCGGCCTTTGAGGGCCCCACACTGATCTCTTGATGGCATTTCTGTCTCTGGGTTTCAGTACTGACCTTTGGGTGCCGGTCACTAAGAGCCCGCATCGACCTCTGAGGGCCCCAAACTGGCCTTTGAGGGCCCTGTACTGGTTTCGAGGGCTCCCAAACTGGTCTCTGGGGGTCCACGCCTCTAATGGCCTCATTTCTTTTTCTGGGGGCCCAAGACTGGCCTTTGGGTGTCCCCGAGGGCCCGTACTGACTTCTGAAGGCCCGATGCCGGTCTCTAAGGGTCCACATCGGCCTCTGAGGGCCCCATGCTGACCTCTGGGGTCCAACACCGACCCATGCTGGTCTTTTAGGGCCCACACTGACCTCTGAGGGCTCCACGCTGGCCTGTAAGATACCACACCGGCACGTGAGGGCCCACGTCGGCCTCTGATGGTTCCAAACTGCCCTTTGAAGGCTCTGTACTGGTCTCTGAGGGCCTCACACTGCCGGTACGGACCCACGCTGGTCTTTTTAGGGTCCAAACTGGTCTCTGACGGCCCAAACTGACCTCCTAGGGCCCAACACCGTGGCTTCGGATGGCCCAATTTCTGTCTCTGGCGGACAAAGACTAACCCTTGGGCACTTCTAAGGGCCCGTACTGGCTTCTGAAGGCCCGATGCCGGTCTCTTAGGACCAACATTGGCCTCTGAGGGCCCATCCTGGCTTTTGAGGACGCTCTGTCCGGTCTTTTAGGGCCCCATACTGACCTCTGAGGGCTCCACGTTGGCCTGTAGAAATCACACTGGCCTCTGAAGACCCACGTCGGCCTCTAATGGTTCCAAACTGACCTTTGAAGGCCCTGTACTGGTCTCAGAGCCCAGAGGGCCCTAAACTGGCTTCTTAGGGTCCAAACTGGCCTCTGAGGGTCCCAAACCGGCCTCTAAATGTCTCACACCGGCTGCTGATAACCCCATTTCTGTCACTGACACCCTAGGCTGGCCCTTGTCCCTTGGGTGCCTCTGAGGGCCCCGTACTGGCTTCTGAAGGCTCTATGCCGGCCTCTGAGGACCCATGACGGTCTTTAGGGGCCCTGTGGTAGTGTGCTCCTCGATTGTCTCCCTGGAGCCGCCTCTGCGATGACTTGCCCGCCGGCGCATGGGCCGACGGCTGGGGTCAGCGGGCGCGGTTGGAATGTGGACCAGTCTTGTTCGAGACACAATGCAAGCGGGAGCCCTACTGTCGCTTATAACAGGCCCCACACTGGACTCTGAGGGCCCCAAACTGGCCTCAATGGGCCCCAGCCGGTCTATGGGGTCTCTACACCGCCACTGATGGCCCTATTATGGTCTCTGGGGTGCCAGGCTAGTCTGGTCCCTGAGGGCCCACATCGGCCTCTGAGCCTAGGGGCCCCATACAGGCCTTTGAGGGCCAATACTGGTCTTTGAGGTCCCTACACCGACCTCTGAGGGCCCCGAATCGGGCTCCTCTGAGGGACCCACACTAGCCTCTGATGAACCCACTCCGGTCGCTGGGGGCTCAAGATTGAACTTTGGGTGCCTCGCACTGGGCTCTGAGGGCCCACATTGACCTCCGAGAGCTCCACACTGGCCTGTAAGGGATCATATTGGGCTGGCCTGTGATGACCAACTGGTTTTGGAGGGCCAGTACTGGCCAGTGGCCACTCAGGGTCCCAAACCGGCTTTTGAGGGCCATAACCGGCATCTGATGGACCGAACCGGACCCTGGTGGCCCAAAACAGGCCTCAGAGGGCCCCGCACCAGACTCTGAGAGTCCCATCTTTAGTCTCTGGGGTCCAAGGAAGAACTTTTGGCGTTTCCTGCCGTCCTCCAAGGTTCCCTGTCAGTCTCTGTTAGTCCCCATGTCGGAATTTCGGAATTTGAGGGCCGTTATCTCGTCGCAGCGGGCCGGCATTAAGGTCTATTACCATATCGGTGTCACATCGGTTTCTGAGGGCCCATGTCTGCTGCCAAGGGTCCCTGGTCTCTGATAGTTCCATTTAGGTCTTTGAGAGCCCGGGCCTGCCCATCATAGGCGCCTCACGCTATCTTCTTATTCTCTGCCGATCTCGGAGGGCCCCTGTCGATCTGTTTGGCCCGTGCAGGTTTTTAAGGGCCGCTGCTAGTCTCTGAGAGCCCCATGTCGTTAGTTGTGTCTGTTTTGGGTCGCATTGGCACCACACATGTCTCTTAGGGCCCATACCAGTCAAGGGGTCCCACATTGACCTCTCAAGGACCAACGCTGGCCTCAAGGGCTCACACCACCTCAGAGGTTCCGAACTGGCCTTTGACGACCCCGCACTGGCCTTTGATGACCTCGGGCCCGCACTGGCCTCTGATGGCTCAGGCAGGTCTCGTAAGACCCACGTTGGAGTTCAATGACCCATACTGCTGTGCGAGGTCTCACCCGGTTTGTGAGGGTCAATCTCAATACTGGCCTTAAATGATCTTACGCCGGGCTTATATAAGGGTCTCATACTGGTTTCAGAAGTTTTCCGCTACTTACGAAAAACTTCAGGGGGAGGTGGGCAGATATTCGCCCCCCCCCTCCGCGGTACGCGGGTTAAACTAACACACCGCCCCCAGCGAGGGTCTACAGGGACCCCTTTGCCAATTCGCCCCCCCCCCCAACGCCAAGTTTACGACCGTACCTGGTGGCGCCCACTTCCGGACTATTGCGCCCCTCGGAACCGCTTTGGGCGCCCTTTCAGGGTTGTGCAACCCCAATAAAAAACAAATAAATCCACCCCTGATAGACTATAGTCAAACTCGATTAGGTGGTACAGGGTGTCCGGATAGTTCTGGCGCTTTTCAACATTTTCTAAAACAAATGCCATTGGTTCATAGATACTAATCAATGGATCAAAACAATGACCAGGGACACCAAGCCACATGCTTCCGCTACGTGCTCATTCAATGTAACCATCGTCGGCGCCGACGACGGCCTCGACGTAGGGGAGGAAGCGTCTGCGGGTTTTGACGATGCGGGGCATTTCCAGGTCCTCCCATGCTGTCATGATGCGAGTCTTCAGCGACTCCAGGTTGGGGTGAGAAATGGCCTAGATCCTGTTCTACAAAACGCGTAGCACGCCTTAGTCGAGCGGGTCAGGTTAGGAGAATAAGGCGGCCTGATCTCATTTCGCCACGGTGATCTGGCCCGGCAAGCTCCTCTGTCAGTTTAGCTTGAATGGCAGCGGCGTTGTTGGAGGGTGCTCTGTGCTGTTGAAATGCGAAGTGACCCTTAGGGCATGTCGTCTTGACCCTCGGGTTGATGTGGCTGTCCAGGAACCCCTCGTGGGCCAGCCTGTTATTCATTTATTCGACATTGACGAAGATGATGGGACATTTTTGTCCATCAGACCCCCGCACTTTCTTCGATTGCCGCGCTGAAATGCTGCTCCGTTCCCATATCGCGTTCGAAACGGTCTGAGGATATTTTCTAAGGAATTCCCGAGTCGAAATAAACCTTTACCTGCTAAACCATTCATCGAAAAACGCCGCATCGCGCTGCAGCTCGAGCCTCGTTCAAGTCGCACCCGGCCGCCGCGCGCAGGCATTCAGCGACAAGGCGCATCTTCGCCCATCTACCCATCACTGAAAACGATTTCAAGGTCATATTTACACGACCTCTGGCTGAGCAATCAACGAGGGGTCATGTCTGTGATGATTGGCTGAATGTCCAATAATCACAGCGCGCGTTACACGGCGTCCAAAAGAAGCGCCAGGACTTTCCGGACACCCTGTAGACCTGCTTCGGAGTGGACTGCCGCTATTTACCAGGCTCCAGAGCCATCCCTTTTGGTGACTGCATCCGGGACTGGCCGGCTACAGGCTGGCCAACTTGGAGCGTTTTCTGGTGCGGCTTTTTGGGTACTGCCAGCACTAATAGTCAACAAACCCGACTCCAAACATCTGTACATGTAGTTTGCGGTCTATACAATAGATAAGATGGTTACAACTCTGTTGCTTCACATCAGGATTTTAGGTAACTATGTGGCGTGAAGCACGTAGATGCAGCAGAGATCATCGATTCACCGTTGGCATCACTTAGGTTACACCTGGGCTAGAAGTCGCTAGACGATGACATATTCAAGCTCAGCTGTTCGCGCTGTGAATTACCAGAATCTCTGACAAAATCTATCTACCAAATTATAGTTATTGATCTTCAGCGTGTTTTTTTTTTTTTTTTACTTACGTAACTTGGCATTAACATACGACACTGCGAGGCATGTCTGGCTAATGAAACTTCTTGCCCTGCGCTATCCAACATCCTAGTTCGCAGTTGAGTGCCACTTGCGCGGAGACGCGCTTGTTAGCAGTAACGTTACATAACTTTTTGGAAACAATGCGTGTTTTTGACGATGAAAAACGTTGGAAGTGACTTTCAGTTGCGATGAGGAGAGACTGGATTTGAATGACTTATTGGATGCGTACGTACTATGCATTTCAAACCCTCTGGAACAGTCCTTTTTGGCTCTTTCTCGTTACCTATACGCTTGATTTCAACCAAACTTTGACACAATGAGTTTCAAGGCCCTACCTAATTTTTACTAATATGGTCTTTTAACAAAATATCAAAATGAAAGGCACATGTCATTGACTTGTAATGGTAAAAATTGATCGGAAAACTCTGCGCCGGGGTAGAGGCTAGCACGGCGTAGCAGCGTCAGCTGTTGCGCCGCAGCTAAGCTCCGCCCACTGCGCCGCGACACCAAGACCGGTCATTCGCCGCTCGGGGTCAGAGCAGTGCGGAGCTCTGACGGATTGGAACAAGACGCACGCTAACGCAGGCATCCTTGCGTGAATATCGTATCTCGCGCGGAGAGAATAAGGATGAAAAATGCAATGCAGATCGATGTATATATATATATATATATATATATATATATATATATATATATATATATATATATATATATATATATATATATATATATATATATATATATATATATATATATATATATATATATATATATATATATATATAAAACGGTAAGCACTCCTTCTAGTTACAGATTAAGCTCCAGAATGTTATTCCTACAAAATTAAAGAGTCATTTTCAATAATTTATAGCGAGCTTCTCCGCTGCCCTGTTTTCCTACAGACTATGGCGCATTTAAAGAGCAACGAGACAGAATCTGCGTGCGTAGGGTGACATTCAAAGGCCTTATTTAATTGAGGATATCCACATATGTAGGTATGTACTCGTAGTTTTTTTTTTTTTTGAATACAATTTAATTATTTTTTGGGCAAAAAATATTCAATTTCTCCATAATATTTCCACAATGCTTTAAGGATATTGTTGATAGATCTTAAGGCCGAAAAACAATAAAACAGGGAGAAGATAGGATGACTCAATCTGAAAATGTAGATATGCAATATCGAGAGTTAATGATCTCCCATCCTTCATGCCCCCTTGTCAGTCTCTCGTCTATAATCTCTACCTCTGTCACTTATCTCTGGTCTACCATCTTTGTCTCTGTCATTCGCGTCTGCCGTCTTCGTCTCCTGTCTCTGCTCTAGAGTTTATGCATACTGTTTGCTGTCCACGAGCCACCGTCTACCGTTCGTCTCATTGTTACTTTGTCTCCTCTTCCTTTTTCTTCCTTCCTTCGTCCTTATTAGTCGTTGAACAGCTGATTTTAAAGTTCATGACACGCAAACAAGTGTGCCACTCCGCTGCGCCGCGCGCACGGCCCGCACGCCGGCCGGCCAGACTGCGACTGCCGCCGACATGACCCGAGGCTGGACCGCAGGTGGGCGGAGCCTAGCCGCAGTGTGCTAGTGCGTCACGACCAATCAGAGGGGAGACGGCGCCCAGTCTGTATCAGCCTCTAAGCAGGCCTCTGACGACCTTAACATTATCATTCAATGACAAGTGCCCTTATTTTTCATTTTTTGTTAATAGACCATATTGATAAAATTAGGTAGGGATCTCAAACTACCAATGCCAAAATTTGGTTATAATCAAACGCATATACAACGAGAAATAGCCGAAAAGGACTGTTCCACAGGGTCTGAAATGCATAATAGTTCACTAGCATTCGCCTAACTTGGTGGTTGCGGTTATTGCTATCGATGCGCTGTTCCTCCGTATTGCCTGTTTCAAAGATCCGTGTCCCGTTTTCGAGATCCGTGAGGATCGATTACGTCACCGGTCGGCGGTTATCTGCTCAGATTTGCAGCAGCTCGTGTTCACTTTTGTATTTATTTTTTCTTCTATGTTGAAAAAATTAGTTGAGGTGAGCTAGCAGTCTCCATTGCGTAGCTGCTTAAGCCTGCTCAGCTAAACTGGATGTGTTTTGTTTACCCCTGCGTCTTGCTGTGTGCGTCTGGTCTGCCATGTCTGTGCCAAGACTGTATCTGACACCGTGTATGGTGTATATTGATATCGCCTGCGACGATGTATACCCTCTTCAACCGTCATCCTCCCTAACCCCCGGCTCGGTTCCCACAGCGCTGCCAGATGGACTCTGATGACGAGGTTCGTGACCGGGCCACCTACTACTACAACATCCTGGACCAGCAGCAGGCGGCGCTCAACAACCAGTACATCCTCAACTCGCTACAGGTCAGTGCTCAGCGTAATGCGTGGATGTGGATATGTAACACGGAGCTATCGCACCTTGCGAGGAAACTGACTAAAATATCTGACAGTATATATTACTGTTGGTAAGGTGGTCTTATGGTTTTGTATTCGACAGGTAAACTGGAGGCTTTAGTAGGAATTGCTATCGAAATTCTGCCTAGCTGCTGTGGTGACCGAGTTGGACGTCGTCATAAATAGAAATGTCGGCCAGGTGATGAAAATGATCAGCTACGCGCCTCGGAAACTGTCAACCTGGAATTCGGTTGATATAGCAGTGTATAATATCACTGAAATTTAGACCCGAGCTTCCACAGTGCGGGTTCGGATTCTAGTAATTCCCCTGGTATCTGGCCTAACAACAGAGCCATCGCAACAGACGACGCATATAGGCCGATGAGTGGACCGCCACTGTAGTCCGTCGACCTCTCCCATCGCTATGTGTTTTGTCATACACCACTGGCTTAGACACCGACTCGCCGGGCAGACCACCCTGGGCACCGGGGCCGAACGCAGACACGGGCGCGGCGCGCTGCCACGTGTCGTTTAAGGCGCGACTAACGAACCCGAATTAGGAGCTACGGCGACGAAATGAGATGGCGCCGGAAGGACTGGCAGCGGCGGCCCGGAGAATAGAGCTTAACGCCCTGCGCCCGTGGATGGGGAGGGAGATTGAGAGAGGGCTGGTCTGGCCTTTGTGATGTTTCACTGGCCCAGTTTATTAAGGATCTTGGATCCAGGTCCGGTTTGGTCCAGGTCCGTATAGGAGCGTATGGTAGCAGTCCAAACACATTTTAATGAAATTTACTCGGTTTTGGTACTGTCTGTCAACGCTTGGTTGCAATACATCTCTTTGCATTTAATTTTTCATTGCTCTGTTCGGATTTGTCTACTATCTGACTACCGTGTCGCGTGGCCTGACCGTCACTCCCACCGCCCGCAGGTCTCTCTGGTCGGCCTGGAGAAGGCGCTGCAGGCGTACTCTCAGGGCCCGGCCGATCAGCCGTTCGACCTGCGCTCCGTGCCGGTGGCCGAGGCGGCTCCGACCGACAGTCGTGCTGCCGCCCCGGAGGGCTCGATCGCTTCCAGCAGGAAACCCGAGGAGAAGGTGAGAGTCGCATTGGTGTCCCGGCAGGGAGGGGAGGTAGGATAGAAGAGAGACAGGGGAGGGACGAGAGAGAGAGAGAGAGAGAGGGGGGGGGGGTACACGGAAGAGCGGGAGGGAAGGATGGGCGGGAGAGAGTGAATGTGACGGGCTGGTGGGAGAGCGAGAGGTTATTTGCTGGCTGCCTCGGGTCATGTCGAGTTTGTGTTTGACTTGTTTAGATGAACAGTTATTAGCATGCTGCCTCCTTTGTTTCAACGGCCTCACATTTTGTTTGTCTTGCTTACGCCAAATTCTGAGACGTGCCGCAGCAGAGCTTAAATTGTTTTTCGTCTGAACATCTATTTTTTATGCTGGATTATTTTATTTCATTTAATAACATCGGGGCTCAAGAAAGGCTGCTTTCATGTTTCGACGGAGGTAATCTCTTCGGCTTCTTTGTGTGGCACAAATAAGCTTTGTTATTTCCTGACCTGTTTTCTTGCTTGCTTTACATGGACTGACTACATTTTCACATTTTTTCTCGAAAATAAGTACCTAGACACTGTGGTGATTATGATTTGGATGTCCGTTTTCGCGCACTCCTGAGTATCGGAATCTTGCCCCCTCCTTTTCCTGCCCGGTCCCAACCTGTTCTCTTCTGACCTAACCTGAGTGAGAATAGCCGTGTAGCTATCGTCCCACAAAAGGTTGGTAACTGTGGGCGGCGTGGCGACCAACACTGACCCGCGCCACACAAAGCTCTGCTGATCGCCTGGTTATTGGCGACACTGACCAGGCCAAAGTCGCGACGGGTCGATGGTGTTTTCGGAGCTATATAAATCTTACTCGGCGCTACGAGCTATCGGCGGAAATAGATAGGGTGGGAAGCGGTGGGTGCGTGTGGCTACTGGGGGATTTGCCAACTGCGACTATACTGTCTCGGAGACTTCGTGGAACAGCCAACGCCTAGAAAAAGTGGGAGGCTGCGGGGTTCCAAGCCTGCAAATGGACAAGGTGAAACTTATGTCTGTGCCGTAACGCAGTTGTTCTCGTCCCTTGCGAAGAGCGGGGAAATATTCTCGAAGAGCGGCGCTCAACCGGTCGAGATTTCGCTCATATATAACCTTAATCGTTTAAGACATCGCCGCGGGGGGGATCTTATTATAAGCGCGTGACCCGTGATGAATATCTGTCTATTTGAAGTGCGCGCCTGACTCGATTATACTGCTGCCCGGGGCAGATTAGGAAGGCACGCTGGCAGCTCAATTCGCCAGCTTCCCCGGAGGCGTTTGAGATGCATCGACTCGCCTCAGTAGGGTGGCCGGTTGGCGCCCGGATTTGCGCCGCGCGGGGCTGTTTTTGGCCCCGGGGTCACAGCCCCCGCGCTGGTGGCAGATAAAACGGGTCACTCTCAGAACCTTCCGAACTGAACGCCACTTCAAGGACCGACTGGAATGGACGGGTGATTGAAACGCATGTACGCCGTTTGAAGACGAAAATCCCCAGATAGACTTTGATTCGTCGTCGATCGGGCGTGAGCGACTCGGCAAGGAGGTGCTGGTCAGCACACATTCCATACTATGATTTGACAGTACCTAATGCCCAACTCACTGGTTTCTGACAGCTCTGCTCCTGAATTATCCTTATTATAACACTATTACGATGTTAAAAGAACAAGCGGCTTTTATCTGGGGAACTACGGCGTTTAAAGCAAAGCGCACTAGGCACCGCTTTACAGTCCAAGGTTTGGCGAAAAGTAGGGATCAAAGTACGATGGTGCCTGTTACCCGAAAGTTCGTGGTTCATACGAAGGAAACGTTTTAGATCGGTACCTTTTGACTCCTAATGTCGTATGTCGGCTCCAGCTTGACGCGATCTGCCAGCCTACATACGCACTCGATCAACGCCTTCTGGAAATCGGTTAATCGGATTCCAGTGCGTTTTAGTCTCATCCAATGTCAGGTCAATTACACCTTACATTTTTGTCATTTTGTGAATCCACCATTTCTTATCTGCAATGCGGTCTTGTTTTGAGTCGATTTTCGGATGACGCTCTAACCCGCTCCTTGCCTTGCCGTTCACTCCCTTGCCGTTACCTGCCTTGCTCTCCCCTGCCCTGCCCTGCCCTGTCATGCCCTGACTTCTCTGTCTTGCGCTACCCGGCTCAGCCCTCTGACCCACCTTACCCGTCCCCGCAGGTAACGGCCACGCGCCAGGACGTGTTCGCCGAGCAGCTCTCCAAGATCCCCGAGTTCCAGCAGCTGGGACCGCTGTTCAAGTCCTCGCAGCCCGTGGAGCTGACAGAGTCCGAGACGGAGTACGTGGTTCAGTGCATCAAACACGTCTTTGCACACCATGTCGTACTGCAGGTGAGTTCTCGAGAATGGAGGCTGTCCGCTGCTCTCGCGCAAGCTAACGCGGCACTGGTGGGTGGGTTCGTAGGTCCGCGTCGGCAATTTTCGTCCCGTCTGGTCCGTGGCAGGGGTGTAATTGGGCGACTATTTGTTGTGGGCTTGGCGAGACAAGTTTTCACAAGGGAGCGCGGTATTTGTGGTGGCGATATTGTCTGGGTGTGTTGGGGTGAGACCCCTGCAGCTTGACGGAGGTGTAGGTAGGGTATAACAACGCGTATCTAAGCTTTGCAACATCCGTGGCGTCTCGTATATTGCCGTATCGTTTCGTGTAGTTTCGTTACTGAGACTAGCTGAGTGGTCTGTTTGAAGTGAACGTCTGCTGATCCAGTAGAAATTGGACGGGTGCAGGCAAATGATGCCGGGACGTTTTCGCCAAGTGGTCCGCATAAATTCGCGGCGCCGGGGAACGTTCATCTGAGAGACGGAGCCATGTTGATCGGCGTGCTGACTCGCTAATGCGGGGCTCAGGATATCGCTGGCCAGAAGTGGGAGGAGGGGCAGCTGTCATAGGGGTGGGCCGGGGCTGTCGCAGGGATGCTGGCACAGCTTATACAGCCCTCTAATGGCGACTTAATCGGATCGATGACGCGTAAAGAATATATTTCGGTGATGCCAAAGCCGATTATAAACAGATAACCGTTTCTTGCTAGACGTGTCCATTATTGTGACGGTTGGTCAACGTGAGCTCATTTTTTAGTTTTTTTTTTTAATGATTTTGGTCGCGACAGTTCAGGGATGTTGAATATTGCGTAGTTTCTGACAAGGTTAATTACTAAAATTGTATGTTTTCATGTAAAAAAGGTAAAAATGTCACCTTGACGCAGGTCAGTTCTTAAAACCATAAGCCATGCTGCGTTTTAGTTATATCCACGTTCAGTTGCAGCGGCTTTCCCGTTTTATTTAGTTTACCTTCACCAGCTCTAGTCTAGGAATGTCGAGAACAGTCGCAAACTTGCTAGGAGAGAGCTGCAAAACAATCAAATTAGACGACGCAAAACATGGCTAATTCAAGTTATTGGCCATTTGTTTGGACATATATCGTTCTGGCAAAACTTAGGAGCGCCGGTAATTGACGCAGTTTCTATAGTCACCCTTAAAACTTAAATGATATCACCTCACTGCTGAAACCCCCTAATCCGTGCCTACTCTCACTGTCAGTACATTTTTAATTTCCCGGATTACCGCGATGCATCACCCTGCCGATGTAATGCTGGATTTATCTTACCAAGTCCTGTTGACTTTCCACCCAAACCGCGCAGTCGCCTCTCGTTGACCGCTCTAAATTCTCCATTGTCAGCAGCTCATTAGTGAAGTTCAATTAGGAATTGATTGCAATCGGTTCGCTGGGTCCTTTTGTGCCTAATTTGCTGCTGGCTTAGCCGGACATAGATGCAACAACAGGCATTGTTCGTCAATAATGTTGTGACTGCTGTTTGTTAATTCAGCCGAGAGAACATTATCGGAATTAGTAACGAGTCGGTTTGAACGGACGGCTGGCGAGGGATAATGAGATAAATGGTTGGCGGTTCGTATCATTATGGGCTGGATGGAACTAAACAGGAGAATGCTGACGGAACGTGGTGAACGGTGGTGGAGCGGTGGTCGCCGTTGGAAGCCTAGTGTTTGGAGTCGGATGAGCTGGCTGATCTGGCGTCTTTCGGAACGGGGCCCTTTCGTTGACGAGACTGGACGGAGTCTGGATTCATCGGGCCGAAGTGAGAGATTGCTATGTCGCGGTTAGCAGTGCAGAAACAGGACGTGGACATTCGTATGCAAGTTGGACTATCGGAGTTAGCTCGGCGGCGTGTGGCCGGCGCTACCTCAGAGTGGGTGTGGAAAGTTTGTGCGAGGCGTAGACCCGGACGTGCTCCTCACGCTGACCTTTTGGGACTCGTGGGTAAAGAGTAGATTACGGCGGTGCCTGTGCGCTGTAGTGGCATTGTAAGTCCCTGTCGTAAACTTTCTAGTCTATTTCTCTGAGTTAGGAAGATTGTGAGAGCTTTGCACACACCAGGGAGGAAAGGTATGCGTGGCCTGCACGCGATGGCTGAACTCAGCGGGCGGTGAGGTGTCTCAGGTTCTACCCAGCCGCGCTGTGAGATCAGATTTGGGCCGAAATCCGGGCGGTTCAACCTGTCGTCTTTGGACAGTTTGACGTCAGCCCGGAAATGAAAGGCGAGCCGGGACGGAAGCCTGACTGCACTTCAATGGCAACTTTAGGTCGTCAGCGATCGCCTTTCAGCGGTGAACGACGACAGCATCGGGTTTCCGAATGCTAGTGTTGTAGTTGTATAGAGTTGAGATTTGTGGCAATAGATAGCTCTGGAAAGGCTACTGTGATAGTTCTTATACGACCGCTGTAGGTGAGATGTTTTACACTATAAGTCTGTTTTTCGTATCTTCTACCTTCACTCAAAGATGTTTTGCCCCTCCAGCACGTTTTTTGGGTATAGTTTTCAAATCTTGACCGCATGGCCCACCACTCATTGCAAGAGTTTGTTGCTCGTGTTGGAGTTCGCCTTTGCTGCGCAGATAAAGTCGGAAAAGAAACCTTTAAGCTAGAGTATCGCTTGTATTATCGTTACCACGGTTTATTGGTACTGACTACCGACCTATACACAAGGACGTTTTGCTGTTCATAGGTACTTGCATTGTGCGAAGCGCTCTTGCTTAAAGTTTAAACCTTGCACTTCCTTTTCATTGGGTAAAAGAAGCTAAATGTGTTTTATGCTCTGCCATATTTTTTTCAAATGCTTTATTTATGTTTTGCTTTATTAACGTTGCGATAACTTTTACACCGACGAATAACAAAATTGTCTTAGCCCACGCCCGCTTGGGGGTCCCCAGGCAGATTTGCTTCATCTTAGTTTTCCTATCTGCCTCACGCGATCATCCCGAAAAGTAAAAAAGATACGAAGACGCGGGCAAGAATCGATAGAGCTCTCAACAATTACTTTCAGCAGTATACGTATATAGTATATACCGCATTTTGCTGAGGTCAATAGTGAAGGCCACTGAAGGTCATAAATTCAAAAAACTCCCGAGCTTAACATGTTTGGACAAATCTGACCAAACCTTGTCAACCGATTGAACTACAGCGCCGTCGAAACATTTTTAGTTCTAGCAGCTATTAGGTATTGTCGAAAGCTGCTGGTGATCTTTATCATCTGACATGACTTTTTGACCACTGGCAATCACCAACGCCTTAGGGCTTATATTATGATTGCAGGTAATAGCAACAATAACACCATATTTCGTATAGCAGGCGCGCCTACAGCCAGAAACAGACCGTCAGGTTCAGTCAGCACGCCCCGGGGGACCTCGTCATGGTGTCAAACCTGAACAGGAAGGTAGGCGTCAGTCCGAAGCTGTCCAACAAGTGGATAGGACCGTTCGAGGTTCTCCAGTTGAAGAGCGAAGTGACCTACCGAGTGAGGGAAGTAGACGGCAGGAGGCGGTCGCGCGCGCACAGTGAGGGGAGGCCGAAGTGTGACCGCCACAATATTGCGCTGAAAGCATGACGGAGTTGAACTGTGCCAACACCGTCGGTGTATCTCCGCGCCTTCAACACTTTTCTTTCTGATATCCAAGGAAGTAAGTTCGTTATTCTGGCGATATTCGTTGGTTGTGCTCCTTCTTCCCCGCCTTATTTCAGTCACCTAACCCACATTTCTTTTGCTTTGAAACGTTGAAAGAAAACGTTACGATCATTTTGTCTTGTCTGAGACCAAGGCCATTGCCCTTCTGTTGTTTGAAAACATAATGAAATTAGAAAGGGATAATTTTGCCAGAATGAAAATATGATGACACCTTTTTATGCAAATGCATTTCACTTGACAAAGAACATTGCATTTTGATTAACGAGATAGGCCAAGGGGACAGACGTTCGATCTTGCGTTCGAGATAAAAATTGACTTTGCAGCGGTGTTGATTTAATTAGATGTTCGCTGGAGCACGTGATTAGAGAGTTTACCGTCTTTGAGTGAAGGTAGAAGATACGAAAAACAGACTATAGTTGTAATCGGTGCCATGCTATTTCTTGAACGGCAACGTTTGTCAGCTTTCTCCTTGGTTAATGCCGGGCTTATTGGTTCGACGAACCAATAGTACGCTTTGCACTCTGTTCGATTATCTTATCCAGGCTAATTGGACTCGCATTACATAGACGTTTTTCCCAAGGCTCCCGGTAATCGCAGTGACGTAGGTTCAAAAGCACAACCAAATATCACAACCTCCCGGCTTATCTCCGTTGGGTGTTTTACCGCTGCTGAATCTTTACCGTCTGGACGTCTTGACCTTTGTGCTCAGTGGCCGCCGCTGGTCCCGCGGCGGCTGAGTCTGCAGTTGTCCGTTCCGCGGTGAGCGGGCCCGTCCCCGTTCGGTCGGTTGGTGACGTCAGCGGTCCGTCGGCGCCGTTCAGAGGCGACTGGTGTCGGTCCGTCGCTGCCGGTCCGTCGCGCAGACGGTGTTATTGGACGGGAGCGCGTCAGCCTGACCTGATGACCATCGGCGGCGGTCGGCGCCACCTGACGTCAGTCATGGCGGCACGGCGCACATCCTGTGACCCTCCGTCGAGACCGGCCCATGACCCTGGCCTTGGCTGGGTACCCTGGCGCGTATGAGCAACCGGCACCTTTGTAGCCTGATTGAAAGTTGTTTGGATTCCAGCTATTCACCTTTGGTATCACTGCATCCGTTTATTGGAGCAAAATTCACCATCTAAACAAATGTTCAAGGCTGAGATGGAGAACGCATGCCGATCTTAAAATGCCTGTCTGTGTAGGAAACTTTGATCTTCCCGTGACATTATTTATTTGCCTTTTTACTCTCTGAGCAAGATCGGCTTGGTCGCATGGTTCTGTTAACCGATACAGGGCTCAACTGATGGCGACGCTTTTAGTGACTATCTTTATGCTCCAAATAGGCGAACGAGTAAATTCCCCGCCACATGACTTACTGCGTCTGAATAATACTGAGTGTTGTTGACCTGATGGTGCGGCTGTGTCGCATTGTGTGTGGAAGATTTGCTGGCTTTGTTGCTGTCAATTGACAGCCGGCTGCGACCGATCGGCATCCGATGTACCGGTCTTTTCAGCGGTACGATCGTAAGAAAACGTCCCGATAATACAGACATTCCGCTCCAAACCCGATTACGGTCCGTTCTGAAAACGACTGTGTCTGCAATGGCGACGCTGGCAGGACGGGGCTTGTCGATGGTTGTCGGTATCTCGATCTCCGTAAATGGTGCATCTTGTGTATGTATTACCCGGCATTGTTTGTGTTTAGTATTTTCTGTGAAAGATTCCTAGCAAAGGATCGGATCGGGGTGTTGTAGTCTGATTGAAAGTTGTTTGGATTCCAGATATTCAAATCCCTCATTATCTGTAAATATCCATGTTTGGATTCACATGTAACTTTGCTGTCATTCGATAGCTACAAGATTTGCTCTATAATTGATGAGGATACTTGCCGTCTCTCGATTGACTGACATAGCTGCTTAGTGCTCAATTACCGTTATCAATTCACAACGCTGCCCAATATTGTGCTGTGGACAATAGGCAGGTCATTCGTGACCCAGGCCGATCGGTGAAGGTAGGCCAGGATCAGAATTGGTCAGGATCATCCTTGAGTAGTACACAATGGTCAATATGCATCCGGAGGTATTCATGATTTGCACGACCTTTAAATATCCTGAAGCAGCGTTTGGAATGATGTGATTGGACTGGCTCTTTGTCCTCTATCGAATGCGGGTCAATATGAATTTTGCAGCTTTTAAAACATTCTCCATTTGCCTTCCACACCAGTGCAATTCATGGAGTATTGCAGATCAATTTTTTATTGTATATATGCAGGTCGGTTGCACATTTTTTATGAATGGCTTTATTTGGGATATGGCATTTCGTGACAGATATTGCGGTGTTATGTTCCTGACGTTTCGATTGAAGTGAACCCATAATAACGATGCATTTTGTATAAAGCTTGGAACAATGCTCTTTTCTCTTTTCGACCTCAATCTTTTCATCTTTTTATTTGCTTCGTTTTTACCCCGTGTTTTATCAATGTAACAGCGCGCTCTTTGTGGTCGCTGTCGGTCACATACAATGTTGGACCACATCTTTTTGTGTGTTTTTGTCGCATGGCGTTCTTTCCGTGCCGTTGACCATATGCACTTGTGTGCTTGCCTCTTTGTGGATCAAGTTTCTTTTTCACCCGATTGGCTATTATTTGTAAACGGAACTGGGCCACGTTGAGTGCTGATGCGTCTGACACGTAACTATGATATTTTTGGGAAGATGACTGAAACGACCGTTCTATCTTTCATATTTGTTGATATGGCGGTGCAATCGGGTTCTGCTTCAAAATATTTATTCCGCCATTTCACAGATGTCGAAAATGACACGTGACACGTCGGCGAAAAATAGTGATGCCGTTCACCGTCATCCGTTGAAGGCCATGGCTCCTGGCTCAGCTCTTATCTCGGTACTAAGAACGGCACCGGAATCCGGATACAGCAGTGTGCAGTGCTCATTTCCATTTCCAGCTGTCTTCGCCGGATGCAGGCAAGACCGACAAGAGTCATTGTTCGGCTTCCACCATTCCATATATGGTCTCGTGTCCTAAAATAATCGGACGGTAGTCCTGTTCTATCGCGACGTTTCCGGAGACGTTTTCCCGCGTATTTACCTCTCCGGCTTCTATCATCAGTGCGCTCGGTCCCAGCACGGGGGCAGTGGCCGTTTTGAATTACAACGAACGCATCTCCACTTCGCCATCCCACTCTTCCAACTCGGCAAACTAGGGCGGGCCTGTTTGACTGGGACAACACGTTGGCTGCCCGTGCCTGAACTATTGATTGAATTGGTGTGCTAACTGGCGACATTGGGCCTAGTACAGGTGATTAATCAGCATAGTGTGCTCAATGCGGAGTTGGCGGCTCCGAGTATCCATGTGCTGGTTCCATTCTGGCACTCTGACATCACTTTTCAGGCGTGATCATTGTGCTGGTTTCATCACTTGTTTTTCTTGTGCTTCTTCAAGCAATTTTTATTCCAAGTAGCTTCCTTCGTATTTTGATGATGACCTTTGCGTAGCTACTAATTTGATAGTGTTGTCACTCGCCCGTTTTTGCGCCTCTTATTTCGTATCGTCTATCATACCTTTGCTTCGTTCTTCTGACACGTCTGACCGGCTGCCCTCCGCTGTATTTCAGTTCGACTGCAAGAACACGCTGAACGACCAGCTGCTGGAGGACGTGACCGTCCAACTGGAGGCCGCTGACGGCTTCGAGGTGGTGGCCACCCTGCCGTGCGCGCGGCTCGAGTACAACGTCACCAACACCTGCTACACGCTCATCAAGCTGCCCGACGACCTAATGGCCACCGTCGGTAAGACGCTGAGGGGTGGGGGGGGGAGCGGGGGCTCGGGGGACGGGGGTGGGATATTGTGGGGATGGAGAATGGAAGGGGTTAGAAGATCGAAGGAATGAACCAACATCGAGATCCGGGCGGATCTAATACGTGAATAAGTATTCTTATTTTATTTCTTATCCTTCCTCTTAGTAGAAGAACTCTTTAACAGTAGCAAAGCTTTTATACATTATTATGCGTTTCAAACACGTCTCCGACTCCGACGTCATTCTTCGCATTGTCATCGCCATAAAGAAGCCTAACGAGCAATATACATAGTGCGCATACACCATTAGCGCGTTTGACGCTGCGGAGACTTCTTAGTAAAGTTCCCTGATATGTTATCCATACCTAGCGAATGCGTTTACTCCCGGCACGTGCTGTATCGCAGAGATGTATTGATCAGTAAATTACAATCATGATTGATCACGCGAATTCGCGGTTCTTGCTCTTCCTACCCACCATTTTTCCTTTTTTGTCAGTTTTGACTGCCACGCTTCTACGCCGGTACATCGCTTCTGAAATCGCAAGGTAGTAACACTCGGTGGTGTGGCGGTTTATACGCCCTCAGGCAAAATCCGGTCGATTAATTAAGACAGCAAGTTTTGTCGGTCCGACTATGCCCCGAATAGGGTTCGGAAAGTCATGGCTATTTTGAGATGATGTCGCGGATCTTCGTTAGCAATATCCTCCCTCGCTAACAAGGATCCGTAAGCTTTCTGCATTTGGAGAGGCTGGAAGGTTGTTACTATTTTAAGGATCTATCGGCCTATTTCGTCCGTCTCTAATTAGTTCTCTGGTAGTTGTGCTCAGTTGGGAAGTGATTGGACTGAATGATTGATAGGAATTGCGAAAGTTCGTAGAAATATTGAAATACTAGCTAAATTTGTCTGCACGCTTCTTGGGGATCTCAAGTTGAGTCTGCGTGAATTCGCAAGCAGTGCTCAAATCATCAGTCGGTAAACGTAAAGCAATCGCCGTCTCCGGTACCCAAGCTCTCCGGTACCTAAGGACGGGGTAGTTAACCATTCAATTGCATCTGATGGTCATGCTCAACAATCTCGTCACCCACGCTGTCTCGCCTCCCCGTCCTCCGCGCGGCCTTGTTCCCAGTTTGGTTGCGCTCGGCACCACCTGAGCTGTGATTTAGACGGCGGGCCGTGACCCGGCCATTCCTCACTGTTTCGGCCTCGTTTGTCATGGCCGGCTACATGACAGCGACAGGCCGGGGGCTATTAGCCGCCGCGGACAATTAGCCGGGACCGCCGGTCGGCCGCAGCCCGGCCCACGCCAGTCGACCGGTCAAATCTCAGCCGCCCCCAGCTGAGGTTCGGTCAAATATGGGCCGCCCCCGGCCCATCGGTCAAATGTCCGTCGTCCGGAGCTGAGAAGCGGTCGAGGCTCAGCTGGCCGGAACCGAAGATCGATCTAACCATCCGGGTCAAGTCCTCTACCTATAGCTATCCTTAGCTGCAGACAGGTCAGCGACCCGCTTCCTGCAGTAGTGCATTGTTCAAATACCAGCCGCCCACATCAGAAGATCGGTCAGAGGCCCGCCGCCCGCAGCCGCCAGCTCAACTGCTTTCAGAATGAGGGAACTTTGAGGTCGCACTTGTTGTTGGCAAATAATAAGCAGCTGTTGGTCTCATTCCGCTGTCAATTGCAAGAGTAATGTGCCGCGTTTTGTGCACACGGAAAGCTCAAAGCAGATAAAGTGGGCTGGTGTTTACGACAAGCTCTATTTAATTTCAGCTACTTGCTGTATTTGTTCTGTATAAATTAGTTTACATGCATCTTAATTGTCTCCTTACAGAAACTAGTAGAATTGTATGCACTGTGTCGAATGAGCTAATATCAGTAAGGCCTAGTGAGTCCAGGATGTACCTTATGAAATATCTTCGGTAATGACTAAGTTACTAGCAACGTCCCTGCTTGGTTGCAGTTCGGCCGAGTACAATTCCCAAAGCCGGCCAACTTCGCGTGTTCTTTCTCTCGTAGTTTTCCGTCGCGTTCGTAAATAAAGTTCTTGTCTAAAGTCGTCAGGAAAAATGCCGCAGGGTAGGTGAAAGTACAACAGGAGTTGAGCTGCAGATGGGCTGCTACTTGGCTGAAAAGTAGTTTCACACCAGTTGACGGGGAGATACACTATCCTGTCAAATCTTACCGTTGCTTGGTATTTCAATTTAATATTGCTCCGTAACCTTGAGTCATTTTTAGAGGGCACTAGGCTAGTGAAAGTCATGCCACGTTCGCTGTACTACTCTCAGAGAGGTGAGAAGGCATTAAATATGTTACCGAGAGGAGGTGTAATTGACAATTTAGCTAGCCAAGTGGGGACAGCCAAAGTATGTCTAAACGGCAAAAACAAAACTCATCCGTGGCAGAGAATCACGCTCCGCCTGTCCTGTCCATTATTGGACACTCATTCTGCCACCTCACGTATCGATAGTCCTCCCCGTTCTCCAACTCACCATTATTACCTGTTGCGTGTTTTCCGGCGCTGCCACCAGCTTACGTACCCCGCTCTCACGGCGCGAGGCGGCCGCTGATTGGTGCCTATCGTGCGCTCGCTACAATACTCTGAAGAAGTGATCTCCAGATGGCGTGATGTTCTGCCTGACCATGGCTAGCCCTCAGACCAACTAATTTCGCCTTTGTTCCGCCTTTGTTCCCATTTTTTAAATTATATTGTATTTCGTAGGCGGCGGAACGGGTAGGGCACCGGGGCACCGTGCCCCCCTTTGATTTTGGCATTTTAACATTAGCCCTATGTATGGGCGTTGCATGGAAAGAATGGGACCAAAAGTTGGCAGTGCCCCCCCCCCCCCTTAATTGAAGGTGTTCCGCCGCTACTGTTGTATTTTGGTTAGTTGTGCATTATTACCCATAAATTCAACGCTTAATTAAATTGTGAAATTAAATTAAACATATACTTAATTGAACATGCTCGTTATTAAAAAAGAACGACAGGATAAAATGCTATATGTCATCAAGAATCCCAATGTTTTTTTTATTCACTTTTCCTGCCTCTGATCCATCTATCTACCCTTTTTCTATTAATGCCATCTTTCAGCCGGTGCCACCCACTCAAAAGATCCTTTTAACTTGCTGAAGCGCCCGCACTTGGCCATCCGACACGCTCCACGGCTGCTCTCTCCCATCGTTTCCTCTTTCCTCGGCCTCTCTCTTTCTCTTTCTCGGCGCGAGCAAACTTTCTACGGCGTGACAGCGCGGTGGCTCTCTTCCGAATGGTTTTCCTGAAACATTCAACGCTTTTGTTAGACTGGCGAACGTTTTCTCTGCGACGAGTTAGTGGGACTTTTGTAATAGCTTTGATGGTTAAGTGGATGAGATGAAGTTTGTTTTCTTGTGGAAGTCTTGTTAGCACAGCGTGGAAATGTGGCCTGACAATTCCGAACGATGCTCTGGAGGATGAAGCTATCGCTCTCCGATCACCTACCAGGGAAATTGTTCGAAGCGGAGTGAGATAGGCAGAAATGCAATACAACGCCAAATCATCTAGGATTTCGCCGTGTAAACTGAATAGCGGTGATGTTTGCTGACCTGATTTTTATCTGAAGCTCCATCTCTCTAAAAACTCCCGCTAGGATTTATCGTGCTCTTTAACGTTCAAGCTCAACTAGCCATGACAAAGGATAAATCGATAAGCACATCGGGACTTTTTCCTCGGCTCCCGGGCGCTGTCGTTTCTTGTCGGCCATTCGCTGATGGCTTCCTCGACCTCCTGTGCCCCGCTGGTTGCGGACCGTTCCCAGCGGTCCCGCGGCGGGTGCCGGCCCACCGAATGGACGGTGATCACCACTAATTGTCGGCCCCCCACGGCCCCTGGTGGCGGTCTGTCCCTGCCTCTCCGCGGGCGGTCCCTGGAGGTCGGTCCCCCGGGACCGGGGGGGGGGGGAGGTCAGTCGTCAGGAGATGCTACTCACGCTGATGTGTTGTGCTGCGGCATGGGGATCCATCAAGGAAATGGATCATTTTGACAGATGTTCGACGCCGATGTGCTGGATGTTTTTTTATTATTCTTCTCAGGATTACTTATCGATTTTACTTTTTGAGAACTACTGAAACTAAAACCTAGTTATAACAATTTGGCTGAATGGTGAGGTTGTACAGACTTTTTACAAATTGCCCAGGCTCGCACCTACGAGTCACGATTCCATTCAGTCAAGTTCGGTGATGATTTCCTTGTCTGTGATGATTTCCTTGTCCACTTTGAGTAGCAGCACCTGAACTCCTGAACTCGTCCTGTCCTTGGGCACGCCTGTTGAGCGGCCGTTTTGGGGTGTTCAGAGGCCACCAGGGGTCGAGTGCCGGGCTCTGCGGCGGCATGCGAGCAGTGTCCATTTCAGGGCTCCATAATGGTCGCCGTAAGAGGCATCCGGCCAGGCGGCTCCCGCACAGACGCCGTTAGCCGGGCCGTAACTCAGCGCCGCTCGAGCCAACATTTGTGCTCTATATTCATTATTCACTGAAGTGGGCGGCGCCCGGCTGACAGATACCGGACCCGCCGCCCGAGCTGGTCCTCCGAGTCACGCGAGTCTGCGGCTGAGAAGGCGTCTTTTACCCGACCTTCGTGACCCCCTGAGGGTGGGAGGGAGACGGAGCGGTCCCGGCGGGATGTAAGGAAAGAGCATGGTTCAAAGGGGGCAGGATCTCTCGGCTGTGTGGTTGGGAATCGGTATTTTGGGAGAAGAGATGCTGGGTGTTATAGCGCACAACATCCAGGTGATTGTTGTAGTGCTCTTCCATCAAGCGTAGACTTTGTAAACTGCACCCACCCATCCCGCCAAGTAAGCTTGGCTGTTTATTGTTTGCTGACTGTGAGTGCTTTGTGAAGTCGCACGCTCACTGCTGACTGTTGATATCACCGGATGACGGCATTAGGTGTGTATCGATCCAGTCCGCCCCAGCCAGTCACCGACTGTCACCACAGCTGTCAGATTATGGGCGGTATCCGC